ATTTAAGTAATATTTTTAGTAGATACGTATTTTTTCGATAAAAAAAAAAAAATAACTAACCTAAATAAGGATTAAAAAGAAATTTCATTGTATTTCAACAGACATGATAGATGACTTATCATATTTCAGAAACTGAATTTAATAAAAAGTGTTACTTTTGGCGAGCATTTTAAAGTATAGTCGTCATTTTATTGTGACGTTAGTAATTATGAAATAGCGGGTGAATTAAAATTAAATTAAAGAAGTTAATTTTATTTTGTGCTTACTATTCTTTCAAACAATTAACGAATGTTAATTAAAAATTTTGAAAAAGCTCTGTACTGTTATTAAAGTACATGAAACTTGTTTTGATGATTAATTAATAAATAATTATCCCTTTAATTGCATTCATTTCCGCATAACCATGTTACTTTAATAAATTGTTTATATTTTGTTTTGACTTCGTTAAAAACTTTATAAAATTATACTTTTATTAAAAATATTTTTTGTTTGTTACGTGCAACATTTTATGATAATGTTGTGCTATTAATAAATAAATAGATTAAGTAATTAAAGATTATATTATAGTTATTGTATTTTGTAATTTGCAATAGCATAACTACACACAATTTATTTTTATTTTTAAGTTAAAAAATAAAAACTAATAGAAATATAACATGGAATTGCCAAAAGCGTACCAATCGTAAGAAAATGGGCAGGTCTGGTGGAAATATAACAATTTTAATTGACAATTTCTTTGTATGTCCTCTGAAATAGTATAATTTATTTTATTACTTTAACTTTATATTTCATATAAAGTGGAATTTATATACACTGTTTGTATAGTGTGTAAAATAAAATAATAAAAATGTACATTTTATGATGCTTATTGCATCTAATTGGAGATTTGTAAAAATTGTAAATGCAGCAATCGCGAAACTGCAAAAAACCACATTCAATTTCTTTATCGATCAAAACTTTATGGAACTCTGTACGTTGCCGAGTTATCTTACAGAAACAACATGACAATTAATATTTGGCTAAAGAAAATTGAAAAAATATTTAAGTTGCAGAAAAACGATATCGATAGTCAAAAAGAAATTATAACTTATAAAAAAAAAAAATGATTTTTTTAAAATTTATATCAATTGAACATGTTATACTGATAATTATTATTTTTCCGTTATATTTTATCAATATAAATGGTAAAATGTCAGTGCGATCAAATGTTTTTCATTTAAAAATAAACAGTGATATATGGGTAAATTTCGATTTTATTGCCAATACAAAAAACGCTTATTACAGAAGAAAACTCAAAGTTGATTACATTATCAAAACTTGATCAACAAAACTCCAAATATTGTGTTCATGAATACAATGAGATGACTACAAAACTAACACTTAATTTGTGTATGTATTTGTAAACCAATATTAAAGAGGGGAATCGGCAGAGAATTTCGGTTTATTGAGTCCCCGGGGTGTCTCTATATATGTGTACGCGCATGCTGTAGGTTATTTTTCTCCTTTCCTATCGTTTGCTTTAAATGCGAAATTGCTTGTTAATCTGCCATTCATGTCCCGGGAAATGCAATTCGGATCCTCCCCCAGGATATATCCATCCCTCTTGTTCGCCTCCTCTTTCAGGTATACTTCTCCCGAAAGCTCATGTGCCAGATCCTTTTACAAGTTTAACGTCCCTATAACGATTCCTATTCAACTGTAACAGTTACAGACATAATACAAATAACACCACGAATTTTATTATTTATTTCTTTGTTAGTAAAATATTTTGAATACAGAATTTTATATAATTCTGTAACATAAATATAACATATCATAATTTTAAACATAAAACGATAAATGGTTTAATGTTTTTGAATAGTTAATTGATGCATAAAGTTAAGTTATTATTTTATTTTTTTAAGTTTCATTTAAAAAAAAAAATTTTCTGAAATTATAATATTACTATATAACATTTATACTTTATTTTTTTGTTAATTGTGACAGCGTTAATAGACAACAGAAAACTATTCTGTGGTATTTTAAATTTTGCACCTAGGATTTTGAACTTAATGGGCGTGTTAACCATTTTCTTTTTTACATTACCGGGATTATATTCATCAATATCATTGAAAAGCGAAGAGAGGCTTTTTCTAGGCAAAATTTATTAACGGCCATCCGAAAAAGCCACCCCTTTTCATAGAATTTGTACATTATAACCGCTTTATATTCTAAATGGTATACCCTGCACCAGTTCCGTCTACATTATGAACTCGGCTTAATTAAAACTTAGATTAATGATGGCTAAATCGAGTGTTAAATTCATTAAATTTTACAAAGCCCCACGGCACGTCGTCGGCTGGTCGAGCAGTAAAACCTTCAAAACCCCGGAGGGGCGGTAAGATCAGATGCTGCGGTGAAGTAGGTAAAATAAAGATGAAGTGGTTGTGCGTAAGAGCAATGGCGGCTCATCGGGGAGCCTGTAGAGTCGCCATTTTCATCGTGTTCTCTTACATTTCCTCTCTATTAAGTCTTATACCTACACCGCGGTTCATAATAGAATTCCTGGGGTCTCTTTGAGACGCCAAATAATAATATTAAACAAGTAAAGTTAAAATCAAATAATTAATTCATCATTGATTGTATAACAATGTAATTATTTGATTAGATTCATTATAACTTCATATTATTTCCAAGTAGACAAATTTTAAATAAATATATTTAAAATACCATTAATCATATGGACATTGTACATAGACATTGTATTATAATATAATATAATACAATACATTAGTATAATAATATTATAAGTAAATATATTTAAAAATAATGTTAATATTTTCTATATCTTGTTGTCAATATGTGAAAATTGTTTATCATCGTGTTTGAACATTTTTTTTATCTCGAAAATTTTTTTTTTTTGATTTCAAAAATGTATTTAAAATTTAAGTTTATAGTTAATATTATGTTATTAAACGATAAAACAGTTTGCTAACAACTCCTGTTATGAGGTTATTGAACCAATGCAATATTATATAATTACAAAATTAAAACTTGCTGTAGTTGCTGTTTTTTGTAGTCCCACAAATTCAATCAAAAGCACCAAATGTCAATAACATAATTAAGTTAAAGTAAAAAGGAAAAGAAAAATTTAATGAGAGCTATTACGGGATTTAAAATTTTTTCCATTAAAGTTTACATAGTTTTATATGAAAATTATTGTAAATTATATGGCATAAGAAAAAAATCTTTACTTAAATACCAAACAAATTTTATCGAATTTTTCGTATTCATAAACACAATAATTATGCTATGAAACTGGCATAATTTATGTATGATATAAGACTTCTCGTTTAGTAAAAAATAAAAAGAAAGTTTACGTTTAAATTAAATAATATTCAAAGATCTAAAAAATTACGAAAGCTACTAATTTATTCCCTTGAGCTACTAAATCAAACAGAGAGGAGTGGCTTCAACGACAAGGCCTTGCCTTCTATAGATGACGATGAAGCTACTAAGTAATTATTGTTTATTGTTTTTTTTTTTATCAAATTTCATGGATATAAATATAAAATAACTGCATCGTAGGTCTACACTTTAAGTAAGTATACAGTGAATCAATTTTAGGTTGAATTACACTTTGAAACTGATATGGTAGTAGTTGTAACCAAAGCAACTGATATAAAACTAATTGGACCGAGACATTACTGTAATGGAACTTATCGTTTGAATTATTCTTTTTCTGTATTTCAAATAGTTATTTCGCGAGTAGTATAAAAAATGGGACAACAACAATAGTTAATGAAGCGTTTGTTTCAAAGCTATTTTATATATATGTACTCAGGCCACTTATTCCGTACTTTGCGAGGGAGTTGTTGCCGTCAACCAGACGATAGAGCGTAACAAATAGTGTATAACAGTACAGGGCTGTGGCAAAAACATCTCGTGGGAATCGAGCCCAAGTGTGCTGGGCGTTTGGGGTAGTAGGTATAATATCCTAGTTGTCGGGCTGCGTTCAAACTTTATGTATCGATGCGTTGTTGTGGAAAATACGATTGTTTTTTTTTCGCGCTCCACGAGGTGCATCTTTATCCGGTTATTCTTTGCCCGACACATGCGTTTAACAACATCCGAAACTATATGACGTGGCCGATGACCCCGCAAAGCGTTAACCGTCCGCGTAGATGATGTGATGCGATTAACAGCAATTTGGAACTAGGCAAACGCCGCTGTACTGGTGCCGAGAGAGTATAAACTTGTTATTCCTACCGTAAATAATATCATAAAAATAGAGGTATAATATTGCAAAATATCATGTTGCAATAGTCCGTGTAATAATACCTGCGCCCATTATTGCCATCGATATTTTGTATTTATCCGAATTCATAGAACAGGACCCTAAGGATAATAACTCTTAAAATGTAAATACACTTAATCGAACGACAGTATACTCAAACAACATTTATTATCTATACGTTATCATTATTTTTTATTTTATTTTCACGCTTTCGACACGTGGTACTGTAATGTATTGCTAGAAATTTTTATTAGCTCTATTAAATTCGTGTATGATTTTGTCCTTAATGTATCGTATAAACTCGCCTTTGAGATAGCGCAGAGAACAATACAAATAAATTGTGTCTACAATCCACTGTTTAATCTAATGAAACGTTCTTGAGAGGATATAGTGTGCTATTGTTGACATTTGGCTCATACTTGTAGACTCCCTAATTGTGTTTAATTATAACGATTTAATGGGGTTAATTTGAACATAATTTGCATAAACTGAATTTAATAGACATTTATTTGTAATAGCATTTCGTTTTAATTATCTTATACTGTTTTCTATTAAGCCAAAGCAATATCTTCTAGTCGTTTCAGCTTTTAATCATGTCAAACGTCTAAAGTACTGTTTTTAACGCAAAACTTTTTTGGAGGGTTACAACCAATTTTGGTTGTTATTGAATCAGCGATTTACTCGACAAAGATAATGAATTATAATAATTTTCTATGAAACTCACCTGAACCCTGACTTCCGGCAAGTTAACTTTCATAGCTAACTCTTCGCGACTGTATACGTCCGGATAGTGTGACTTTTCGAATGCTCTTTCCAACTCGTGTAGCTGATAAGTGGTGAACGTGGTGCGATTTCTGCGGTGCTTCTTCTTGTCGGGCGGCGACATGCTATCCGCTGCGGCTGCCGGAGAAGCGCTCGCTCGGCCACCCGACATGTGATCGTCGTCCGGTTCGTCGTCACTACTGTCGCATCCGACGCCACTACCGTCGTCCATTATGTCACTGGCCCTACGCTTCTGAGATCCGTTTACATGGGTTTGTTGGTCTAACGATTCGTGATTGATTTGTCTGGATGGCCGTTCCGTATCACTGGAATTGCAACTGTTATCACCTGTAATCAATTATTAAATACGTATCATCATAATGAATACCTTTGCGGTAATAATCTATAGACACTTTGGCCGAAACTGGACATTTGTATACCTTCAATAACAAATTAAATACTCATACACGTCACATTAATACTACTCGTTTTATAGCAGTTTTCGCGCGAGGCGATTTTGACAGAAATGAACCCCTAAAAAAATCCGTTTAAACGCTCTTCGTGTAGAGCATTTGAGTGTTACGTTTATTCGATTATCTATTTATTAACAATATAAGATTAATTCTAAACCGTTTTTTTTTCGTTTTGTCAAGTTTCAAGTGGTTTTCGAGTAGGCCAATCGTGCAGTTAATATACCTACTAAACAACCCTCTTGTATAATGCAACAACGTTACGCGTTTTATTTCGAATAAAAGAAAAATGTGCTGTTTACTCAAGGACCCGGCTGTACACGAGTATTTATATCACTGAAACTACACTCTATTTCGGGCCGACCATTATGACAATAAGATCCGATAAGATAATAATATTTGCTCGATACAGTCGACCTACCAAAGGAGCGTCGTACTAAAATAACATTTGCCTGTCATTAGTAGTAGTGATGGGATAGCGACGCATTAATGAAGGCCCGTAACTGCTTAAATGACTGTGGTAAAAATTGTAATTATTTTTTATTGAATTTAAATGGCTACCTCGGTGTTGTGTGTACCGTCTTCACACCCACGACTATGACGTCTAATTTTATCTCCATCTTCAAAATATTTCTTATAACAAAACCGAAACCTTTTAATTCGGACCACATTACATTAATTCTTAATCGATAGAAATCTCCTGGCTAACATCAATAAAACCGGATAGAATGAAATATTATCATTAACATAATCCAAACGCCACCGAAAGTGTACAATAATAATTGTTGTATAGATATTGGTAATATCTGGTCGTGCGCGGTAGCACTTCAGTCGCATTACTGTTGTGAAATAAATTAATAATAACCATAACAGATAACAGTAAAAACGGTTTTTAATGTGAACGTTTTTATTTTGTTGGGCTCGTGTAACAGCTAGTCGTGGCACGCTGGCGGGTCGCTTGTGTATAGTATAATAATTTAAGTGTTTCGTGTAAATGGACCAATGACTATGTATTTTTTTACCCTCGTTCCACTAGTTAAATGTATTTATACATTTTACTTAATCTCTGTACCCTCGACGGTTTTGACAAGTTAATCGATAGCCTGGGCGTAAATGTGGAAGCGGCTTCTGACTGTCGGCACTAATCACATATAATATGTATAACTCGATTTAAATTACCAGTCCAACCTATTAGTATATGTTTTATTTCAAGTTCAAACCATTAGCATTAAATGATTGCCGGACTCTATATTATTTTATAATTTATTTAAAATAACAATTTATATATAAGGTTCATAAATAGCCAATGGGTATTTGTATATAAATAAGTATAAAAAGTGTTTAATAATTAATAGTATGTGTCTTTGATATACGCGAGAATGAGATTAAGTTAATTTCGAGCAGACCAGTTGCTTGTAAACAAATTTACCAAGTTGATTCTCGAAATATTTCGTATCTTTATCAACCCACGAAAAAATCTCTTTATTTCATTCAAGTCAATATAATTAACAATGACCTAAATGAATTATCGTGACAGTTAAGTCATTGTTCGTTTTTTTAAGGGATATTTTAGTTAATAGAATTTTTTTCCCGGACAAATATACCGTTTCCTTCTGATGTTTTAGCGCTTTTTAATTAAATAACATTTCTCCGTCGGCCATATATTATTTGGTATTAGATTCAAACTACACGCATACAAAAACACACGCCGTTATAATTACAAACGCTATGGCGAGTGAGACGAAATCGATTTTTCATATACTTGCTGACATCGACAATTTTAATTAACTGTGTAAAATACTTAACACCTTTGAGAGTTCAGCGCATTGGGTTTGTAGCGGATGGTCAGCGATCACACGGCAATTCCTGAAAATGAGCATTCTATCGTCTGCGTCGAGCGTTTACAAAACATTTTTTAATCCCTCGTCACTAATCAGATTATCGCTATACCGACGTAACCCCGTGCACTTCCTCTTTTATAATCTGTCTTTTTGTCAAAAAAAAATACAACACATAAGTATATCCGGCCAATGCACGCGATACCCTCGTTAGCAGCGACTGAATTATGCGTTTTGCGTATGTGCGCGCACACGAATAGTGTGTATACCTAAAAGTCGTATACCTTCTGTTTAATTTTCACCCCTTTCCGCAGCCGCAGTCTTCTGTAGCGCGCACCAAACTTTTTCCATGTATACCATCATCGTTGTCGTTACTATTATTATATTATTTTTTTTATAGGAATTACAAACATAATTCGACACGCGATCCGTTTTAATAATCCGAATTACATTTAATTGGACGGCTACCGTCACGATGGTAAATTAGCTTCTCACCCGACTTCCTTTTCCCTCGCCGCACATGTCGAATGAGCATACTTTTTATCAGATTCGCCTGTACGACGGCCGTGAAAATACTCGAAGACTTTCACGATCGACTTATATTCAGTAATTAAATAAGCTGCCCTCGCGAAACAACGCTCTTGTTAATCTTGCCAATGTCTTGTACGCCATTACTCATCGTGACGCCCTGGCAGACATTAGGTTTCTATTACAATTGGATATATCGACAATTTCATTTGCGAGGCTTAAAATCTGTAATCCTAACGATGAAAATATGTCAAACTAATTTACAACATTGGTGGCGACAACATCAATAACACCGACGAGCACTTCATTAGGGATTAGGTTTGTTAACCGATGTAGTGTGCGGAGGGGTAAAAAAACTGTGCACGAATTTTATCGTGCACTCGACTCGGAACATATTTTATATATTTGCACTACTCCCCTGCTCGTCCTACAAACATACCCCAACCGTACTGTACTATTTGTGTGTACAGTTGTCGGCCCCTTTTTTTTTTTTGCACGTCGCCACTGTATTACCGTCATTACGATTATTATATTTACTGTGCCAGAGAGTATCGTTTTATTGCCGTCTAACGTCTGATAACGTGTCGGGAATTATCCTCGTTATTATTATATTGTATACAAGTTGAATTGTATTAGACGGCGGGGGTGAGTTACGGTTTTTATGTTTTCCATGACAAATGGTCGGAGTTACCAAGTGTCGGTTCACACGAGTTGGCTCAACGAGCCCAAATTACAATTCTTTAACACATATTTTGATACTATTACTTTTGTATGATTGTTCTAAAAATTGAAAAACGGACAATTCAATTTGAAAATTGTTGCGATCGTGTTTTAGTCGGATAATCAAATCTATTGCGTATTTTGCGCATATGTGTATAGACACTCTCCATAATTGTTAAGAGTTATCAGCTAATCTTATTCCTACTAAATTTATAATATGATTAGCTAGCGAAATTGACAAAAAAAACTCAATTCTCGTAAAAATTTAAAAGGCTGTTGTTCAAATACTGTATAATACAACATGCTTTATGGTATTATTCATAAAACATAATATACAGAATGGAACACATCCAACTCGTATAACTTTTGATCTACATAACATTTTATACTTTTTATTTTTAATCAATTTTTACAATATAGAACTATACTTAAAATGTGTGTTGTGTTGTTTTTCGCGATTACAAAAAATATTTAAAAAATTAATTTTTTTTGAAGATTTGAAGATAGCCATTTTATAGGTAAGTTTTAAAGAAAAATGTTGTCATTAAAAACTCTTATTTTAATTCAGTAGTTACGTTTATACAGCATTTTGAAATTTGTTAAATTTTGATTTTTTGTACAATTTTCCTCAATGGCCTCAAATGTTAGTCTATATTATGTAAAGTACGGAAGTAAACAATTATTACGTTATTTACTAGTAACAGTACGCGATATGTATGATGTATTAGATAAAAGATAAAATAATTTTATATGTTGCATTATAAAAATATAAACTTTTCATTTATTTTTCAAAGTTGACTCCCCTAAAAATTCCAATTGGCGTTTTTAAAAAAGTACGAATGTAATTAAAGCATATTATAACATAATAGAACGTATTATGTATGATAAAAACTTTTTTTCATATTTTCAATCATTCTCAAGAAATTGTTTATAATATAAAATTCTTATCATTCTGTATATTATTATTAAACATGTACAATTGATTATTTAAACTTCAATTCGTAAAATTTCCAAATACATTTTGGATAAACTATATAATAATAAAAACGTTTGAGGATTAGAAAATTCATTCAATACAAGACTTATTATAAATTAGATTTACAGAAAATCAGCAAAGGAATAAACGAGTATTGTTAATAGTCTAATTTGATAATATATGTACAATGATAATCCAAAAAAGTAAAAAGAAAATTCCTAATAATAATTTTGAGATACAAATAAAAGTTACCACTACGTCTAAAACTAATTTGTTTAATTATCCTAAACACGATTTAGATGAGGTTTTTAATAATTTCTGATACTGAGCTCCTGTATCAAGGAAAACTTAATCAAAAGTATATAATTTTTTTAAATTGTAGGATATGACATAAAAAACAAAATAAATGGATTCTTTAACCGTGTTATGGTTGATCAAACTTTCTAGTTGTTCAGACAATACTAGATAATCCTTTTATCTTAAATACTTACAATATAAATATATTTTTTTGGTATATTTTAGCTACATATATATATTCACAATTAATTATTAAGTACTTTTTTGGTTCATCCATTATACCTTATAGGGTCGTGAATATTGTTTATTTTAATGACAACATACATGTTTAACTAGCTAAGAGATATGAAATAATTTAATTAAAAGAAAACGAATAGTGGTCAACAACTTTTGGACCATTATTAGTATTTTTGTACCTAGATAAAACTAGGATAAAACTGATTTAACTTTGGTAGAAACTAAACTTATAATTATGGTTGTAAAACAAATCGATTAAACAATGAAATAAGCTTGTCTGCGTGTAGCTAATATTAGCAATATCTATAATCACTCAAGATGAGAATAATTGCAGTAACGTTGTTAAAACCCATAAATATAATTATGATTGGCGTGTAAACTTTAATATGATATATTGCCATTGATGAGATTGCAAATGTATTATATTACTATGAGTAATTCGAATTATAACTGCGGAACCTTGTCAGGTCTGCGTATCTCGTGGCAAAAGCATCTCGGAGATCAGCTTAAACGTACACATACATAAAAAAATATGCGCACAGAATGGAAACAACATTGGCATGCAATCCCCTCTGGTGGTGCTTCGGTCTCAACGGCCGTCGGTCGGCTGCCACGGGTATTGATACTACCAATTACGTTAACAACGGAGGATTGTACGGCACGACTCGGTGTACATAAACATTGGAAGATAGTGAGCAGGCTATTAGCAGCCGCGTTGGTTTATGGAAACAAAGAAAATCACGATGGGGATTTAGATTTGGACGCCGCTTTTCCGGATGACAGGTCCAACGAAATTATTACAACGGAAGAGGTCTCTAGAGCTGTCCAAAAATCCGACGTTTCCTTAACGAGCACCGAGCGGACTCTCGCTGTAAAAAGAAATTTTTTTTGAAAAAAAAAAAAATCGTAAATCCAGATTAGGGTGTATACACTTCCAGTTTAACATATGAAATAAAGCTTCTTAGTTTACCGCCCGACTGTAATAACGAATAAATTGCCACTGGAACGTTTAACCGAATGTGAAAGACCAATATCTGTTCTAAAATTCTTAAATTAGTTATTTTTCACGTTCTCCGAGTAAATGCAAAATTATTTTATGAAACTCATTTTTATTAACTGTTTTTACTCGATTCTTATTATTTAATTAAATCTAATTTTGCGAATAACACAATTTTCTCGTTAATTATTTAACTTTTATTTTTAACATTTTTTTTTTTTAATTGCTCAATTATTAAGATTTTGAAGAAAAAAAATTAAACTCTTAGAGAATTATGTAAATGTATGAATAGTTTTTTTTTTTTTACTGAGTGAATTAAAAATAAAGAAAAATTAATTTTTTAAGTAAATAACAAACTAATAAAGATTTTTTTAATTCATCAAAAGTACAAATAGTATTTTAATGTATAACTTTGTTAACAGTAATTAAACTATACGGTAAAATAAACTTGAATTTGAATAGTTCTAAGGTTCAATATATATTATTTTATTAGTTATGTAATAATGATTGGGCTAAGTCTCTTGGAGATTCGAGAGAAACAAAGCTATTTGGTTTATTTTCTAAATATTTTAAATACATTGAATATCAAATGCTTTATCAATAATAATAATTGATGTGTGGCTAGACACAAAGAAAAAATTTTTGAAAATATATGTATAGGGTATAATATTATACACCTGAACAGTAAACGTAACCGAGAAGAAAAAATTAGAAGCTTTTGATGTTACCGAAAGTTGCATTTCATGAAGCGACAGAGTTACAAAAGAAAAAAGTTTTGAGAAGAATTAAAGAAAAAATACAAATTTGGAAAATTATAAGTAATAGAAGGGATAATATGATAGAGCACAAAATGCGCCATAATAATTTGCTAAAAATGATTACTGAAGGGTATGTGGATGGTAAAACAGAAGGAGAAGGCATAAGAATGGAATACATATTGTAAGGAACACGGACATATGGGAAGTTATCGAGATTTAAAGGAGCTAAGTTTTGACAGAGAGACTTGGAAAGCTGCGGCCAATCAATCATGAGATTGATAGACAATACAAATATTTATATATTTTTCGTTAAAATATATATTTGTTATTTATCTGGCAGTAAAAAGTAGAATTCAAATCACTTTTTATCGTTGATTTTATGTGTAATTTGATATTATATTAAACCATAGAACACCTAGTAAAACGTCTATACGTTAGACACAAACATGATAAAATCAGTTTTAGAGCATATTTGAAAACAATATATTAAGTATTTAGTTTTAACATGAAATCGCTCCGAATAACTTCCTTTTCAGTAAATGGTACATGGGACGTGATCACTCGAATTTTTTTAAACCGATTTACAGAATTTTTATATGGGAAACCCCCTCGGAATTAATCAATACCTGCAGTATAAAGTTTTAAAAATATTAACAAAGGAATACTTTAAGAAAATGTAATCAATTTAAAATAATATTTAGTTGTTTTCTGTTAAATTTTAATAATTAAAAAAAAGATCAACATAATCATTTATTAATGAGAGTAATGTATAAATAATTGTGTTAACTAAATTGATTTCATATTTCATAAATGTTACCCGCCACTCTGTGTAGTTGTGAATTCACAACTACTGTGTCGTAATTAAAATATTATGTAGAGATCAATTTTCTTTAAATTTAGATCAAAATTAAAAATAAAGGGCAATTATGTAACTATTATGTATTAACTTTATTATAATAACTATTTAATAGTGTAATTATTTTAATTAGAATACTATATTTATTATGATAAGTTGTCTTAATTTATCGTAATTTTATTAAACAAACATGTTCAATTATTTTAGACAATTAATTATGTATAGTTTAACTATAAAACAACCGTAAATAACTTAATAAGTACATTTTATTAGGTACTTTAATATTAATGTAGCAAATTTAATAGAATTGTAAAAATCATAGAACTAGAACATGTTGGGGAACTAAATTAAATTTTATCCCTCTCTAAAAATTTATTTATAAGATAATATATATAATTTTATATATTTTGAGGATGCTAATTCTTCTACTAAGAAGCTTTAACCCTTTTTATTTGGACCCTTATTGCTATTGCCGCAATAGTAACACATTTTTTAAAACACGAGTACTGCAACTTTTAGTTGCAAAATCTAAATTATTGTTTTTTCAACGGTATTATTATTGTTTATAACATAAAACAATGAACAACAGATGACTAATGATGCAACACAACCTGTTGTACTAAAAGTGAAAAATTCTGATGGTTGCAATCTAATTTATTAAGTAAATTTATTTATAAAATTTACTTGCACGGAAATACGAATCGAGTTTTAACGTTCGCATTGGCAAAAACGCATACAAATAAATTTGGTTATCAAAATGAAAGCAACATAATAAACGGCGTATTAATTTTTATATTATAATTATTAATTGGAACGGCGGTAGCGATAAGAAAGGTTATTAAAATATTATGTTTTAATCAATTTAATTGTTCATAATTACAATTTTATTATGAGTAAACGACACGCAAACCGATTACGGCGTTGATAATGCACGAATTAGACTTGCCGGTCATTTCATGTTAATTTTTCAACTTAAATATCGCTGTATAATTAAATTTATTTTTTGTGCATTACCGAATAGTTCTCCTAAAAAAGTTCCTGGAACCGTACGAGTTTTCCGGCAGCGGTATAATTGAGTAATTGATTCCGCGCGGTACGTTTGTGCATTTGTCCGACAGACATTTAATGACAATGCATCAGTCGTATATAATCGCGGGGAAAAAAAAACACGTCTAAATTACTATCGTAAAATTGAAATTACTTTATGGGCTCGTGTCACGCGCTACAGAAATCAGCTTTGGAACTTTTTACATGTGCGTTTTGTACATCAGGACGGTCGTAAGTAATTTACTTTATTTAAACAAACGTTTACCGTGTAAATATTATTATTATTATTATTGTAATGGCAATGTAGGCAAATACATGTATTACTCGCCGAAGGCTGTGTAGTTGCCGTTAGGCGGTCTCGTACAGGCGGATCACAAGCGCGACCGCACAAATGCGAAAAACAAGGGAAATAACTGCGGTAATTATGGACGGAATGCCACGTAATGTGTATTAACGAGCGTGCGGGACGTTTAAAGTTTTAACGTATCGAAACGAAAACAATGGTCGTAATGGACGAAACCGAGGGGAGAGGAGTAAAGTGATTAAAAATAAATGAGCTTGAAAACGAATTTCCCCTTCGGTCTCGCCGTTTACCGAAACAATTACCACACCGCGAGACCGAGGGATTTTGCTGATAACCGCCTATGCTTTCATGCCGATGTCGGTGTCGACCTGTACGCGGCCCAATACTCGTCCGAGACGTACCCTTTGCAGTGTGTGCACAGTACATTTACTGCTCGACTATGTACACGCATAATCGCATGCGTTTTGTTTTTCTCGTTAAATAATCTTACGGTTTACATTAACCGTTTGTGTGTGTTGCGTAGTAAGAGTTGATACAAAAACAAATGACTACTCATTTATTAGCGAGTTTCAATTGAAAACGCAAAAAACGCGACCAGATAGTACAATGTGCATAACGTGTACGCGGATAAATTGTCGTATCCGTAGCGGAAAATGGAAATATTGTCTAGGCCGATAACTTATTACTAATAGGTTTTTTTTAGCGCGCAATGAAAGTGTTATTGTTAAGGTCCGCCGCGCAATTCGTTCATTGCTCCTAATCTCACTCCATTTAAAAGTGGTTTTAAAACCACACTCTTAATAAACGATTCCCCGAAAACTATTAATCTAAATACGAGACATTTGTAAGACACTCGTTAAAGTCAAACGCGCCGCCAGTTGTTTATAGATCTATTGAATACGTCGGTATGAGAATTAACTTAAGGTTTGAGTGAATGTATCACTTACCTCCGGATTCTTGGTCCTTATCTTGGTCCCGGTTCAAGCCGAGTATCGCATCGATCGTGTGATGTTTTGGAGCTGGCACCGAGGTTGCCGCGTTTGCGGCGGTCGGCCTGTGTTGAGGTCCTTGGAAAGCCAAACCAAGCGCCGTTACCGCGGCGTGATGTCTCCTGATGAGCATTTCGATGTTGGCGCGGCTGTACGGTGGCATTTGCATGGCGGCCGATACTTCGTTGTCGCTGTTACTATCAGTTTCCATTGTCAGCGCTGTAATCACACAAAGTATAGACTCGGGTTAGTGCGGCGTGTTTTTGTGGACGATTCGAGTGATGTGTTGAGCGTCTAACGCGTCAAGGTGACTGATAAATGTAACAAACGCATAAAAAAATAATACCGATAGGAAATGTTCTTGTGGTAAAATATATAATTTTGATGTCAAAGAGAAACGACCACCAAGACGAACGGACTACGACGGCGATCGTGGTCCTACTGTTCGAACGACGGTGTGCCAGGCTTGGCGTGCCCGGGGTGAGAGGCGCGGCTTGTTGAGCCAATGGCGCGGCTCCGAGCACCCCTCCGTTCAAAATCATTACCCAAACCGCCGGCTTTCGAATAAACGGGCCACTTGTGCACTCCACCCCGTGCTCCGCGATGGAGATTCGGGTATAATTCGATAAATGTTCTTTTCAAAACCCTAAATGCCCCCAGGGGCAGGAGGTGGACCTCGGGGATATACAGTGGTGATAAAACCGTGGCGAGCGGGGCGAGGCGGCGAGCAAACGCGTCCCTCTTATTTATTTACTAGCGTGTAATGTTTAAATGAGATGTTATTGTTTGGCATCACACACAACTCTGCGTGTAACACAAAATTGTCGTCGACGTCGTCGTTCACACCCGAATCGTTTTGTGTACGGCCGCCCCGTACGTGAACATTATTAACACATAGACGTGTGTACCCAACACTGCTGCGCGGCTGCGGTAACTCCATCTCGGTTTTCATGTGCGTTCATGTACTTGTGCTACCGGCACGGAATCCTCTCGATTATGTGTTGATTTTTTTTCTACCGCAACCGTCTTTTCGAGTATTGGTTATCAATATTTTTATTGTAGTGTTCTAGTAGGAGGAGGCTGTAGGAGGAACACCCGTCGCGCGTTGTTCCGAAACTGCACAAGCGTTTAATGAGCTCCGCTAGTTTTCGAAGGGATTACGGAACGCTCAACGCAATCCCTCTGTTCGCTACGTCGAATTTCTATGGGCTGCGCTGGTTAAAAAATTATTGTGTGTACAATTTATCGGGATTACGCAACGTTCGGTCGTTAAAAACCGGTCCGGTGGTAGGCGGATGGAAACGAACGTGTCAAAATAGGATTAGCCGAGTTCCCATTTACAGCGATCGCTTTATTGAAAAAGCTGTTCCTTAAACGCACACAATTGACAGGATATTATAATATATGTTTTACCAGGCGCTTGTTGTACGAACCATCGGATAAAAAACATCTCTTTATAAATTAGTTCTAAGCATGGTGTAACAATTCGGTATATTTTGACTTTATTACGTACGATAATTAAATATTGTAAGATACGCGATTGTTTTGACTAAACGTTCAAACGTTTTCAATCAACTTACGCGCTGTCGATTAAAAAGTTAATGATAATAATAACAATTATTGCCATTTTCAAAACGACACGAACGTAGTATTAGACTTTGAAATTCAGCATAAATAAATGAAGTACAAACAAACAACAATAAAGTTCACCGCTCATAAAAAAATATATACAATATGTTTTGACATTTCAATCTAAAGTTATATTTTTGGTAGTTTAGTATTTTTATGACATGGGTTGTGACGTTTGACACGAAATCTAAGTAAAACTTAAAACGGACCGATGATTGTCATCTACAGCAATAGAGCTGAGTTGGGTTCGGCGAGATTAAACAATGACTTAAGTGTAGGTAACCACAAATGGAATAATTTAAATGTCATTAATTGTGTTATTCAATTCAACCACAGATTAGGTTTTCAGTTACTCGATATGAAATTAAAAAATTCGTTAAAAAATTAAAACTAATTTTGACTGACGATTTATATAAAAGTCACTCCGTCTGTGATTGATTCATAATTAAATTCAAGTCGCTGTGGCGCATTGTACTGTACTGTCAAAATGACTAAAGTGAACTTGGTGACACCGCGTAGAGCCCGGACTTTTTTAAACCATAGTGATTCTGGCACAGAGAATTTCTGGCACTATAAATGTTATCGCGAAGAAATGTTGTAGTTCTCAAGTATCGCAGCTGTCTAATGGTAGTGCGTTAAAAATGACATTTTCCCTCGCCAAATCGATCGCTGCAAGTGCACTAACGTGGAAAAACTCCGCGCGAAAATACAGTAATCGCTGTCTGTCTGAACGTGTCGCCTACAATTGGAAAATACTTTACGGACCAACGCCGTCGTGTCTACTGACCGGTCTAATGGTCGGACGGGTGCGCCCAGCCAACGTAAAACGTATACGCTCAGTGGCCCCTTTGTAACGCAGAAATGTTCGCCGCCAACGGTCCATTATCCTCTTGTCACCCATGACGTGAACAATAATACGGATAATATCGGTAATAGTAATACGGTTGTGGACTGTAATACTGTTGTTGTTGTTGTTGTTGTGTGCGAGAGAGAACACACGACGGGCCAAGAAGAAAAAAAAGGTCTTGGCGGGTACAAACAAAATGATAATCCGCGAAATTCGGAGCGCAGTATTGAGACGTTGTAGTGTGCCCGGCCGTTTCGAGTGTACGGTAATAAAGTATTGAAGCGCACCGCGGCCATTATGTAGTAGGCACATTGTACACGATATTGGCCGCGCAGAAACACAATAATGTTTCCATAATGTAATAATACGATGTACGTTGGGCCGACACCAGGAAATTTCGGACCTTTTGTGAAACATTATACGGCTCTTGGAGCGGACACATGCCGCGGCCATCGGTAGTCGGTGCACACACATACGTCTACTTATGTACACATTGTGTTTTGATACCATCGGTGATCTTTTAGGATTCTTCGAGGAGTCTTGTACATGTTCGGACCCATAAAAGCATATCGAGTGTACCATGTAAATGAATAACGCGATTGTCAGGTGAACTAATTTTCATTTAGTGTTCGGATCGTGTTATTTTAGAAGAAATAGAAACACTCACAAAGAAAATCATTTGCGGTTTACCTGTCGAGCGGTACAAATTTACCCCTCGACGAATCTGTTTCCATCAGTAATACGGTAAACTCTATCGGTCAGTCAGTGTTGTCAGACTATATTTTAAAAAACAGTTATCAAATGAATGTTACGAATTTATGGTACAAGTTTTTCTGCGTTAACATCGATGATGAACGAAAACTCAAGTATTTTTATTTTTATAATGCAGACACTTTTAAACTTGTGTGATTCATAGTGGAATTAAAAAAAAAAAATGTAGCACGTGTAAAAAAATAAACTTGTAGAAACAATTTAAAAGCGCAACTGAATGGTCTATTTTTTTTTTCATAATATTGGCCTAAATTATTATTTGTACATATTTACACGGTGCAAATAAACGATTTGTTATCAGAATAATATTTTGTTCAATGTTTTTTGTTTGAACAGTATATTAGTTGAACAAATTATATACATATATATATACATATCTGTAAACCTTTCTTAGTGTAGCATATGAATATTTTCATTCTTGATACTTGGACGTAATTATATGAAGGATTGAAAAGTGTATAAAAAACACTATACGAATATAATTGTATAAACGATACATATATTTTAAGTGTAAACTTGACAAGTTAACTGATAAATCGACGCATTGTAATTGAAAATCCTTCGACAAATACAATGGTCGTATAAAAATTCTACGCAAGTTTGGGCGACGAGCCAGGGGGAGGGGGCTCGTGACTTTCGGGTCTCCGACTTGTTGATGATCATGACGTAGAGGCCCCTCATTTGAATATCGGATTCCGATCCTTATTATCTTCAACTCGTTTGTGAACTATTGACACCAATGTTATTATTGCATTTCTCAGTATGAGCAACGAATTCGACACGCTCGCAATCAGCAACGCATTTATTATCTCGTGTATTTATTGTACAACCACTACAATCCGAAACCTCAGTACTGTTCGGCGTTTGCCAGAACTTGTAATAACTGGAAACCGCCAACGGGATGTGCGCCTTTTTTCCACCGGCACCGCTCGCCCGTATAAACAAACACGACTGTTACAATAATGTATACACACGGCAAACAATCGCTCGGAGATGTTCCGCCTTGACCATTGTTGTGTGTTGAACTAAATACACAGTATAATACAATTGTACTACTGCACTATTGTGCATAGTTCCAATGGATTCAATCTGTGGATATTGTTGTTGTCACTGTAGTCGCCGGCTTTTGGGCAGTGTTATTCTTGTGACGAATAATATGCTTATTTAAGAGCGTTATCGTGTGTCATTTCAATTGGATTCCGTGTAGATTTACGGGTAAAACGTCCGTGTTTTGCCAATTTAAAGGTAAAACAACAATTTGCCTATACTGGAAAATGTACGTGTAAAAATGCACGTCTACTTATGAAGTATTAAGTTGCAATTTTCGTTAAAAACGGGTTGCTTGTAGTTTAGTGACTACTGTCTTTTCAAAATAATTAATGCACGCGACTATTGCAAATCGATTGGTGGAAATAAGTATGTACCGACTTTTTTTTCAGCTTTATTAAGTGTTGAGGGAGCAAAATGTATGTAAAGTAAGTTTTAAGGAGTATTAAAATATTTAACAATTAAAAAATTGGTTACATTGTCAGCTTTTAATGGATTTATCATTGTTTCTTGAGCGAAAATGAATAATTTAAATTTTTATATACTTTTTTGTTTTAAATATTATTCACACGTAACTACTGATTGTTTTATTTGATTTAAAACAAATAAATAATAATTTTAGTATACCATACTCAATATTAATTTTATTATCAAGTATTCATAATAATATTATTATTATTTAAGTAATTCTTTTAAAGTCGCTGAATGGAGTACAATGAGACGAAAGTAATCTTGTCTTTTTGTGTACTAACATTTAGCATATTTTGTGTAGTACTAACATAAATAGTATTATAATATTTTATATTATAAAAACTAAATATTTTTCTCTAAAGCGGTCAAGTATTTTTTAATTGCTCTTTACACTCTTTCTGCGAACAGGGTACTTTTTTCTTTGAGGAGTTGCTTAGGTTTTGTCTGGTGTATG